CAACTAGATATTATTGTTGTTGATTCAAAACGTGATCGAATATATATTCTTCTGAAATATGATAATAGAACATTTGTTACAACAACTACATATGATGGAATATCTAAATCTCATCCATTCTTTGTCGCTGTGGCAGATTTTAATAATGACAATCAATCAGATATTGTTATAGCCAACTATGGTACTAATAATGTACTTGTATTTAGTCAATATTTTATACAACCATCAGTAAGACAAACAAATTATCTTGTTGGAAAAGATTCTCGTTCGTCTGCAGTCGTTATTTATGATTTTAATAATGATGGTCTATTAGATTTATTGGTTAATAATTTGAACAATGATAGTTTACTTTTATTAACTGGTAATTATAATGGAACTTTTGAGTCAGCAACAACATATTTGACTGGAAATAAATCAGCTCCGCAACATTTTTGTCTCGGTGACTTTAACAATGACAATCGAATGGATATTGTCACAGCTAATTATGGTTCTGATAGTATAAGTATTCTTCTTGCACAAGACAATGGATCTTTTTCTGATGTGACAACATACTCTGTGGGCTATGATTCTCGACCATGGTCAGTAGCTGTTGGAGATTTCAATAATGATAATCGATTAGATATTGTCATTGCAAATTTTGGATCTGGTGGCTTTAGTGTTCTTCTCGGATATGGTAGTGGAATTTTTGGTAAGGCGATCACATACTCTGCTAATATTATTGTTCAGGCAATATCAGTTGCTGTTGGTGATGTTAATAATGATAAAAAGTTGGATGTTGTCATTACTGATTGTGGTTATGGTAATGTGGGTGTTCTTCTAGGTCAAGGTGATGGAACTTTTTCTAATGCAATGACCTATTCTGTTGGTATTACTTATTGTCCAAATGGTGTCAGCGTTGTCGATTTGAATAATGATAATCATCTGGATCTTGTTGTCTCTACTTTAGAGGGACGTTTTGTTGGTATTCTTATTGGATATGGAAATGGATCTTTTCAAGAAATTACAACTTATTTGACTGGTTCTAGTTCGATCCTTTATCATATCGCTATTGCTGATTTCAATAATGATCATCGACATGATTTTGCTGTGACCAATATTGCAAATGATGAAATAATAATCTTTTATGGATATGGTAATGGCAGCTTTGAACTTGCAAGAAGATATTCTACTGGTTTTGGTTCGAAGCCGTATGCCATCACTACTGCTAAGTTGAAGAATAGCAATCAAACAAATATTATTGTTACTTTCTGGGGAGCTGGAGAAGTTGGTATTTTAACTGAATATGCTGCTGCAAAATTTGCAAATCAAAAAACATATTCAACTGGTTCAGCTCCACAACCCTATTCTGTAACTGTTGGTAATTTCAATGATGATAATTATGTAGATATAGTCATCGTTAATTCAGGAAGTGATAATTTAGATGTACTTTTCAATTCAGGCAATGGTACATTTGAAACACAAATAACATATTCAATTGGTGCTAATTCACATCCACGATATGTTATTGCTGGTGATATCAACAAAGATAATCATTTAGATATAGTTACTGTTAATTCAAAGAGTAATAGTATTAGTTTAATTATGGGACATGGTAATGGAACTTTTGATATCTCAAGAGTATATTCAACTGGAAAAAATTCATATCCATTAGCAGTAGCTATCGGTGATTTCAACAATGATAATCGATCTGATTTAATCATTGCTAATGCAGGTACAGATAGTATAGGTATACTTATTGGATTTAATTATGCAACATTTCAAAGTCACAATAATTATTCCAGTGATAATACTCAAGTACCACATAATATCATCACTAGTGACTTCAATAATGATAAATATCTAGATATTGCCGTTACTTTTTCGTTAAGTGATAACATAGGTATTCTTCTTGGATATGGTAATGGAAGCTTTGGTATTATGATGACTTATTCGACTGGAAATGGTTCACGACCTCAATCATTGACTGTTCATGATTTTAACAATGATGGACAATTAGATATTGTTGTTGTTAATTCAGGCACTAATGATATAGGCATCTTTCTTGGTTATGGTAACGGAAGCTTCACTACTAGCAGAAGATATTCAACTGGAAATGATTCTGGTCCAATTGCAATCGTCTTAACCGATATAAACAATGATGGTGAAATAGATATTATCGTAGCAAATGCTGCTGCTAACAATATAGGTATTCTACTTGGACGTGGCAATTTGACTTTCGATACTATAACTACTTATCCAATTGAAAATGGTTCAAACCCATTTTCTGTTGCTGTGGGTGATTTTGATAATGATGGTCAAATAGATATCGTGGTAGCTAATTACCGTACAAGCAGTATTAGTATTTTTTTGGGTTATAATAAAAATGGAAGTTTTACAACTCAAGTGACCTATTCAACGGGTTATCAATCTTGGCCGACTTCAATAACTGTTGGAGATTTCAATCACGACAATCAACTTGATATCGCTAATGGTAATTATAATATGAATAATGTCGGGATTTTTCTTGGATATGGAAATGGTACCTTTGCTCCTGTCACGACATATTTTACTGGAGATGGTTCTTCACCACGGTTTGTTGAAGCTCATGATTTTAATAATGATGGCATATTAGATATTGCTGTTGCTAATTATGGAACTAACAATATTGTTGTGCTTTTCGGTTTTGGGGATGGAAGCTTTTTATTAGGAACCGCATATCAAACTGGTCATGGATCTGCACCATATGTGTTAACCATTGGCGATTTTAACAATGATTCTCGGTTAGATATTGCCGTCGTAAATGAAAGATCGAACCATATAAGCATCTTTCTCGGATATGATAGAGAACTTTATGCTGGTGTAAAATCATATAGTATGGGTTTTGGATCGTACCCACACTCAGTTGCTATTGGTGATCTGAATAATGATGGTCGATCAGATATTGTTGTAGCTAATTATGGTACTCACAATCTAGGTATTTTACTTGGACGTGGTAATGGAATTTTCGATACTATAAAAAGATTTCCAACTGGTTCTGCTCCATATTCTGTTGGTATAGCTGATTTT